AGAATAGCAAGGAGAGGTAAGCAAGCCTTCCTCAGTGATCAGTGCTAAGAAATAGAGGAAAATGACAGAATGGGAAAGATCAGAGATCTCTTCAAGAAAATTAGAGATACCAAGGGAACATTTCCTGCAAAGATGGGCTTGATAAAGAACAGAAATGGTATGGACCTAACAGAAGCAGAAGATATTAAGAAGAGGTGGCAAGAATATACAAAAAACTGTACAAAAAAGATCTTCACGACCCAGACAATCATGATGGTGTGGTCACTCATCTAGAGCCAGATATCCTGGAATGTGAAGTCAGGTGGGCCTTAGGAAGCATCACTACAAACAGAGCTAGTGGAGGTGATGGAATTCCAGTTGAGCTATTTCAAATCTTAGAAGACGATGCTGTGAAAGTGCTGCACTCAATATGCCAGCAAATTTGGAAAATGCAGCAGTGCCATAGGACTGGAAAAGGTCAGTTTTCATTCCAATCACAAAGAAAGACAATGCCAAAGAATGCTCAAACTACCGCACAATTGCACTCATCTCACACGCTAGTAAAGAAATGCTCAAAATTCTCCAAGCCAGGCTTCGACAGTACATGAACCATGAACTTCCAGATGTTCAAACTGGCTTTAGAAAAGACAGAGGAACCAGAGATCAAATTGCCAACATCCGTTGGATCATCAAAAAAGCAAGAGAGCTCTAGGAAAAACATCTATTTCTGCTTTATTGACTATGCCAAAGCCTTTGACTGTGTGGATCACCACAAACTGGAAAATTCTGAAAGAGATGGAAATACCAGACCTCCTGACCTGCCTCTTGAGAAATCTGTATGCAGGTCAGGAAGCAACAGTTAGAACTGGACATGGAGGAACAATAGACTGGTTCCAAATAGGAAAAGGAGTACATCAAAGCTGTATATTGTCACCCTGCTTATTTAACTTCTATGCAGAGTACATCATGAAGCTGGGCTGAAAGAAGCACAAGCTGAAATCAAGATTGCCAGGAGAAATATCAGTAAACTCAGATATGTTGATGACATCACCCTTATGGCAGAAAGTGAAGAGGAACTAAAGATCCTCCTGATGAAACTGAAGGAGGAGAGTGAAAAAGTTGGCTTAAAGCTCAACATTCAGAAAACTAAGATCATGGCATCCAGTCCCATCACTTCATGGCAAATAGAGGGGGAAACAGTGGAAACAGTTGCTGACTTTATTTTCTTGGGCTCCAAAATCACTGCAGATGGTGATTGCAGCCATGAAATTAAAAGACGCTTACTCCTTGGAAGGAAAGTTATGACCAACCTAGACAGCATATTAAAAAGCAGAGACATTACTTTGCCAACAAAGGTCAGTCTAGTCAAGGCTATGGTTTTTCCAGTAGCCATGTATGGATGTGAGAGTTGAACTATAAAGAAAGCTGAGCGCACAAGAAATGATGCTTTTGAACTGTGGTGTTGGAGATGACTCTTGAAGAGTCTCTTGGACTGCAAGGAGACCTCACCAGTCTGTCCTAAATGAAATCAGTCCTGAATATTCATTGGAAGGACTGATGTTGAGTTTCTCTAATACTTCAGCCACCTGATGTGAAGAACTGACTCATCTGAAAAGACCCTGATGCTGGGAAAGATTGAGGGTGGGAGGAGAAGGGGATGACAGAGGATAAGATGGTTGGATGGCATCACCAACTCGATGGACATGAGTTTGAGTAAGCTCTGGGAGTTGGTGATGGACAGGGAGGCCTGGCATGCTGCAGTTCACGGGGTCGCAAAGAGTTGGACAGGACTGAGGAACTGAACTGAATTGAACTGAACTGATTATCTCACTTAAGTTGAGTAGAGTATTTCCACAGTTGGCTGAGCTGGCACCACAAAATGACATCGTAAAGAACTCAAATCCTTCCATAGTCCTGCTCTGCCGTCTCCAGGTCATTGCCTCATCCTCTTAGTTTCATTCCCTTCATGATCTCAGGATGACTGTCATTGTTCAAGGAGTGTCATTCTGCTGTTAGTGTGTAGAGGCAACAAAAACCTTAAGCATACCCTTCTCTGAGGTTGAGGAAAACTTCCCCAGAACCTCTATCAGCTTTCCTGTCATTGCTCATGGCAAGAACCGGGTCATGTGTCTGTAGGCCAATTTTGAGTAGTATCTCTGAGGATTGGAATTTGGGCTTTGTGTGTATTAGTATTTTTAATTCCCTAGGTATTTTTGATGGGCAGCAGGGGTCAGAACCACTCTTTTATGTTAAACATAATTCACCTTCTGGAGCTAGGGAAGGGGCTATTTTCCCTGAAGCACATGGCCATTAGACACCAGGAGAATAGTAAGGTTGTTAGCAAGGAAAATGATGGAAATTGTTTGTTGTGTAGGCAAACGATAGTGTTTGACATTTAGGGTGTGCTCCTATTTCATGTGTAATATGACATATATGCCAGGAAAAAATTGTGGAAGATCATGGATCAGACTTTTAATAGTTGGGCTTCCCTGGTGGCTCAGATGGTAAGGCATCTGCCAGGAATGCGGGAGACCTGGGTTCGATCCCTGGGTTGGAAGATCCCCTGGAGAAGGAAATGGCAACCCACTCCAGTATTCTTGCTTGGAAAATTCCATGGAAAGAGGAACCTGGTAGGCTGCAGTCCATGGGGTCTCAAAGAGTCAGACACGACTGAGCAGCTTCACTTTCACTTTGTGATGAGGGAGAGAATTAATTATAGCTGATTTCCACTTAGTTGAACTTTTACCATGAACATTAGTCACAATCAGAAAATCAATGAAGATACATGCATTTTGGGGAAAATATTTTTTTTTTTTAAGAAAAAAAAAAAAAAGCCACTGTAAGGAATGAAATGCTGTTTTTTTCTCTGTGGGGTAACCACTATGGAGCAAGCCCTGTTTCTTGTTCAGCAACTTGTTGCGAGGAGCTTAGAATTGTTACTGACCCAGTAAGGATACTTCTCTTTCCCACCTGACCAGGAGGAAAATAAACTCTCATCTGGACAGTCTCATTTCCCTTGCCAGTGATTGGGTTAAGCCAGGACCTATGATGCAGTTGTAGCCAATAAAATGTCAGGAGGCATCAGCTGGGGGTATGGCGTGTGTTTCTAGGAAATATTTCTTTACTTTTCAAAAGACTCGGGAGAAAAGGGTCTCTTCATCCCCCAAACATATTCTTGACTATATATGATGCCTGGATATTGCAGCCATCATTTTATGATTACGTGGGGACAAAGTCTGTGGACTTTGCTAGGGATGACAGGGTGGAAATCCTTGGTAACATTTTTAAACCTTAAGTATAATTTCATGCAATAAATTACAAAACTCTTAAGTGTACAGTTTGGTTTGTACCAAAATTTTGTTTGTACACATCCATGTAACCACTACAAGATCATGATATAGAACATTTCTAGTACTTCAGAGAGCTCTCTCCTGCCCCTTTCCAGCCAATAGTCAATAGCCAACACCTACTGTACTGATTCCTATCTTCACACATTATTTAACTGTTCTTGAACTTCACATGAATGGATTCATACAGTACATATTATTCTGTACAAGGCTTCTTTGCTCAATGTTTTCTTTGACATTCATTCATGTTTTTATGTATGTCAATAGCTTATCAAACCACTGCGTGATATTCCGTTGGTACCACAATTTATCCATTTCCTGTTAATGGGCATTTATTTCCAGGTTTGGCTGTTATTTTTTTTTTTAAAGGTGCTATGAACATCTGTGCACCTGTCTTTGAGTGAATATATGTCCTTATTTCTCTTGTGCATATACCTAGGAGTGAAATTGCTAGGACTTGGGGTAAAAAGCTGTTTATTTAGCTTTAGTTAGATACAGCCAAACAGTTTTCCAGAGTGGTTTAACCAATTTACATTTCCACCAGACGTGTGAGATTTCCAATTGTTCTACTATCTCAGCAACACTTGGTATAGTCAGTCTTTGATTTTGTCCATTCTGGTGGATGAATAGTAGTATCTGATTATAGTTTGAGTTTGCATTTCCCTGAAGACCTTTTCAAGTGCCTTTTGGTTATTTCTTCTCCTAAAAGGTACCTGTTTAAGTCTTTTCCTCTTCTTAAAATTGGGTTGTTTTGTCTTCTGCTATCAATTGTAGGAGTTTGTTTACATTCTGCTTATAAGTCTTTGGTCATATGTATGAATTGCAAGTATCTTCTCTCAGTCTGTAGATGGCTTCTTCAGTTGCTTAATAATGTGTTCTGATGAGTATAAGTCCTTTATAAGTATATTTAAAAGTATAAGTATATTTATTTATAAGTATATTTAATGAAGTTCAAATAATCAATGTTTTTAATATGGTGTTTTTTGTGCCCTGTTTTGGAGGTATTTGCTTACTCTCAAGATTATAGAGATATTTTCCTCTTTTTTCTACAAGCCTGATTCTTTTTAACATTTATATTTAGGTTAGTGATCCATACAACATTAATTTTTAGGCACAGTGTTGGGTAAAGATTAATTTTTCTAGTACATATTATTTTCTGTATGGATACCCAGTTTCTCTAGCACCACTAATTGCAGTGGCACCCTTGCTATAAATCAAATGAACATGCATGTTTTGCTCTATTCCTGGACTCCCAATTCTGTTCCATTGGTCTATTTATCTATCCTTGTATCAATACCAGCCTGGTTTAATTATAGCTTGATATTAAGCATTCATATCTGGTGATGTATGTTCTTCTTCAAGATTGTATAGGTTGCTCTAGGTCCTTTGTATTCCCATATAAGTTTTAGAATTGACTTTATAATTTCTAACATAAACTTAGGAAATTTGATTGTGATTGTAATAAATCTGTAAGTCAATATAAGGAGGATTGATCTAACAATATTGTCTTCCAATCCATTTATTTATATCTTGATGGCTTTCTTGAACATCTGATTTTGTTTACTCAACCATGGAGTTACCGTACCTTTTTCTTGTTATTATAAACAAGATTATATAAATGTAATATATATATTTTCATTACTGCTTAAGGCATTTTTTTCTGGTTACTTGCAGCTAAAAACATCCCAAGTGATATAACATTCTTGCTCTGTGGTGTGATGGACTGATTAAGTAGAAGGCTTGAATCAGTGCTGCTCCCTATGTGGCCATGGTAAGTCACCTAACCTCTCTGGGCCTATTTCCTTACCCATGGAAATCTCATAGGGTTGGAAAGTTCTTCTCTTTTTAACAAACTAGTGAACTCTGACTCATATTTTTTGTCTCAATTCAAGTATCATTTTCTTTGGGATGTCTCTTCTGATTCTTCCAGTAAACTTAGATATTTTTTTCTACACATGCCTTTCAAAGCAATCAGTATACTGTAATATCATTGTTTGCATACTTGTCTCATCAGTACCTTACTAATGAAGGGACAGAGGGTTCCCTGAAGGGCTTAACTGAAGAGAATTTAATGAAGGGACAATTATAGAGGAATAGACAGGATTAAGGAAATCCACACAGGATGATGAGGAACCCCAGGGACTAGCCACGGAGGCAAGTCATTACCATTCTTGGGTCTGAAGGATTGAGATAAAGGAAGTATTATTGGATCACAGTGAGATCTGTAGCTATGGGGGAGGGGCTGTCCGACAGATGCTATGAGCTATAGGAGAACATAGCCATTGGGAGAACCATGGGCAGTTAGAGAGGGGAGAATAAATACCCCATCCCCTCTGTCAGCCTCCGATTTCCTTCAACCCTTTTGGTCAACCCAACCGGAGAAAGAAGGCAAGAGTCCAGGTGATAGAGTTGTAGAGATCAGCCTCCTGGGGCATAAAACAAAGCAGCAAGAGGCAGAGAATGGATATAGGAGAAGAAATAGATAATAATTAGTATACTCACCTTCAGCATAAACTTCTTGAGAAAGGACTGAAAAATAATGTTACCATAGTTTTTCATACACCTGTTAACAAAAATCTGAACATATCATAGAAAATAAAAGGCCCTTACTTTCTGTGTAGCTCAGTTGGTAAAGTATCTATCTGCCTGCAATGCGAGAGATCTGGGTTCAATTCCTGGGTCAGGAAGTTGGAAATGGCAACCCACTCTGGTATTCTTGCCTGGAGAATCCCATGGACAGAGGAGCCTGGCAGACTACAGCCCATGGGATCTCAAGAGTCAGGCAGGACTTAGTGCTCTTTCTTTATAATGCTGAGAAATAGCAATAGCTAACTATTTGTTATATACCATTTCAGACTTAATGTACATGCACACTTCCCACGTAGCACTAGTGTAAAGAACCTGCCTGCCAATGCAGGAGACATAAGAGATGTGGGTTCAATCCCTGGGTTGGGAATATCCCCTGGTGAAGGGAATGGCAACCCACCCCACTACTCTTGCCTGGAGAATCCCATGGACAGAGAAGACTGCCGGGCTACAGTCCCTGGGGTCGCAAAGAGTCAGACATGACTGAAGTGACTTAGCATGCGCACTGAATATGTGGGTCTGTGGAAGATTGTATTTCCAAAAATGACCACAGCAATATTTCTGATCTTGAGTGGTCTTTCTGATACTGGCACTCCCCATCACGAAGTCAATGTGTATGCTCTCTCTTTGAGCCCGGGGAGGGCCTTGTGATGGTCTTGACAGATGGGATGAGGCAGAAATGATGCTGCATGGCTTCCAAGCCCAGGTCATAAAGGCAAAATGGATTTGCCTGGAAATCTCTTTCTCTCGGGATGCTTACCACGTGAACACACCACCATGTTGTGAGGAAGCCCAGGGCACATGAAATGCCACATGCAAGTATTCTGGCTGGTTGCCAGCTGAGGTCCCAGCTGACATTCAGCATTAATTGCTGGAAGAGTGAAAGGATGGGCCTCTAGATGACCCCAGCTTCCAGGCTTTGAGCCACTTCAGCTGATGCTGCAGGAGCCAAGGCATGTATCCCCATCAAGCCCAGCTCAGATGGAAGGTTTGTGAGCACAGTAAATGTTGTGTGTGTTTTCTAAGCCACTGAGATTTTGAGTGTTTTGTTACATAGTAATAATAACTAGAATAGAGGCAATATTAGAAAGTTATGATCTCAGGCTGTGGCACTAGACTTCTCAGTTTCAATGTGACCTCTATCACTTATTCCCTGTGTAGTATTTGGCAAGTTGCTTGAATTCAAATCCTCAGTTTCTTCATCTGTAAAATGGGAATAATATTAAAAGTCTTACAGAGTTGGATTGGTCTACAAAACAATCAACTTAGTTCTCAGCACATATTAAATTATTATTATTGACCACCAATTCCCTCAAAGACCACCAGAAAAAACTTGATGATTGAACAAAACTAAGTATATTAAACTTACCACGGAAAGGGAGAATAACACCTTGCAAAAAGTCTCAGTAGTATCTTCAAGTGAAGACATTAAGGAATGATACAGGGTTTTTTTTTTTTTTTTTTTTTTTAATTTTTATAATATACATGTTTCAATGCTGTTCTCTTGAAACATTGAAAAAGAGACTCAGATGTATAGATCAGACTTGTGGACTCTGATACAGGGTTTTGAAGGCTGCACTGGATGGTTTTAAGGTGGGTCACACAAGGCAAGTAACTGGTTTGGATTGGGCAGAATTTGTGACATAAGAGCTTCAGATTGGTGAACACAGAAGGGCAAGGGCCTTAAAGTGAGTTTAGATGAGCAAGTTTCCTGTTTTGATAAGTAAAGTGTTTAATTTTTCTCTGTCTTATCTTCAAAGAATGGGTACTTCTTGGAGCAAACCCCTAAACTATTACTTGGTCTTAGTATTATTTAACAGTAGAACAGAAAAGTGTGTTGCTTTTAGTTCTCATTAATATAATTATTTTTTTCATGGAAAAGGGCTCATAGTCTTCCCAACTCATTACGTTAGATATCTTTCCTTAGAACATATCAGTTAATTTCATTCTTTTTAACGTCTGCTTGGTATTCACTGGTACAGCTGCATTGTGACTTGTTTGCCCTTTCATATATCAACAGATACTTGGTGTGTATGTGTAGTAGGGTGGGGGAGTCCTAGACCCTCAGAACAATGTCTGGCATAGAGTAGGCATCAGAAAGAGTTTGGTGTTGAAAGGAGAGTGTACCGGAAGTCTGTAAAACGCCATATGCATGTAAGGTAAGGATGGACGGTTGGATTCCCCCGTTACTGCATCTTATCTCATCCCACTTTTGTCACTTTTGTCACCTGTGTTAAGAATCATCTCAGGTTGCACACAGCATGAGAGAGGTCTGGAAGTCCTTATGTGCTCACAGTGTGGAATGAGGGAGATTGCTGAGAGGCATGAGCCACAGTGAGTGTGAAGAGCTACTGTGTGGTAGCCAGCCGAGGCAGAGCTGGATGGAGGATGCAACTGAGGCTCAGAGGTGCTCGGGTGCCCAGGAGAGAGGCGGTGGCATTGGGTCAAGGCCAGTGAGAACAGATCATGAGTTTTAGTGGCTGCAGGCTTTAACAACTCATGACAAGCAGGCAGGGCAAGGGGTACCTCATGAAACCAGCAAGGACTCAAAAGCAATAGGAGGGCCACCTCTCCCCTTTGCCACTGGGACATTTCCCTACATCCAGATGTTGTCTTCAGGAGAAGGAAGCCAAAGAGGAAACAATTTGAAGAAAAAAATGGCAGCCCCATGGCAGTTTTAAATTAAAAACCAGATACAACATTTATGAAAATGAAACTGATACAAAATAAAAATATAGATTTTTCAACCAGAGGTGTTAACACACCAATAAGGGACATTTGGAAATAGGTGGGGTATTCCCACCCCCCCACAACTTTTTGTCCTGAAAATTTTCAAACAGAAATGTAAAAAGAATAATTGAGCAAATACACATACATCCATCACTTAGATCTCTCAATTGTTATGGGGATTTTTTTGGCCATAGTTGTTTTATCTGTTTTCTCTGAAGTAATTTACAGTAAATTATAAACAGTCTGACATTTCACCCCAAATACATCTCTGGAAAATAAGAACATTTTTCTGCATAATGTGGGGGTATTTTTGGATGACAGTGGGGAATGCTCCTGGAGGCAACATGGGTGAGGGACAGTGCTGGGTTCACCTCAGCTCAGGGAAAAATTGTCTACCCAAAGCTCTGACAGCATCATCTTGTGGAAAGCCTGCTCCAGAGAAAGACACACTTGTGTGGCAGTGTGTGTGTGTGGGAGGGGCAGTGCAGGTAGGACAGGTGCTATCCTATATTTATTCATTAAAGTCACCCACAAACTGAGAAGATATTAGGTGTGTGTGTATGTTTTTTTTGTGTGTGTGTTAGTCGCTCAATAATGCCTGACTTTGCGACCCCATGGACCATAGCCCTCCAGGCTCCTCTCTCCGTGGAATTCTCCAGCAAGAACACTGGAGTTGGGTTGTCATTCCCTTCTCCAGGGGACCCTCCCAACCCAGGGATCGAACCTGGGTATCCTGCATTGCAGACAGATTCTTTATGGTCTGAGCCACCAAGAAAGGTGCTCTAAGATATGAGGACATACATGCAACAAGATTATAAAGAAATAGCAGGGAAAAAATCATCTATAATCCTACCCTCCAGCATCAACCACTGTGAACACTTTGCCTTATTTCCTTCTAGTCTCTATCTTTTTACATAGTTGAGATCACACCATGTTTGATGAGATCATACATATTCAGTTTCTATCTTAGACTTCTATCAAAAGTCTCTTGACTCCTGTCCACTCACCACCACCTAGTAGGTTGAGGGCCTGGAGAGTTTCTGAAATCTCTGGATTTCAGAAATCCCTGGAGAGATCTGTTTCTGAAATGAACAATATGCCACATTTAAAATAATGAGCCTGATTGTGCTTAGTTGCTCAGACGTGCCCTACTTTTTGTGACCCCAGGGACCATAGGCTGCCAGGCTCTTCTGACCATGGGGATTCTCCAGGCAAAAATACTGGAGTGGGTTGCCATTTCCTCCTCCAGGAGATCTTCCAAACTCAGGGATCAACGATCAAACCCAGGTCTCCTGCATTGCAGGCAGATTCTTTACCACCTGAGCTACCAAGGAAGCCCTGATGAGCCTGATTGGTGGCTTGTTAATTTACCCTACTCTAACTATTTGTGACCTCAATTAATCCTCAGGGAGACTTTATGAGGTAGAGTTTATCATGCTCATTTTCCAAGTGAGACATCCAAGCCTGAGGGAGTGAAGGAAGCTACCTAGAGGTTCCATAAGCCTTGAGCTTCTCTACTCTGACGTACAGCCCCTAATACAATGATCAGCTCCCTGACCAGCTCTGAGGAGTGGAAGACAGGGATACTGGGGATGCAGAGCAGACTCTTCACCCAGGGTTCTTGGGAAATGAGAGACTCACAGACTCTCTTCTGGGGAATCCTAAACAGCAAGTAGGATTTATCCAGTTTTTTGGGGTGTGTGTGTCTCTCTCTCTTTCCCCTTTTGCTCATCTCCATCTCTGTTGGAGCATGGTTTAGGAAAGAAGAGTTCACCTGTTTATGTCTGTGTATGTGTGCCTGGGGCCAGTACTGGAGTGAAAACACAAACTACTTGTAATAAATTAAAGGTGGCTGCAAATTCTTTGACATTGTTTCCATTCAAGAGGAGGGATCTATGTGCCTCCCCTTGAGTCTGGCAGGTTCAATGATTACTTGACTAACAGAATGCAGTAGAAGTGAAATTGTGCCTGTCTGTGGGCCGAGACCGCAAGAGATGGGAAGCTCCACAAATGTTTGCACATGCTCTCAGAACTCAGCTGCCATGCTGTGAGGAAGCCCAAGCAGTCATGTAGAGAGACCCAGGGAGAGATAGTGTGGGCCACTGGTCTGTAGCCCCAGCTGAACTCCTCGCCATCAGCCAGTACCAACCTGCTACCCAGGGGAGTGAGGCATCTAGGAAGTGAATCCTTCAGCTCTGTTCTAACCACTCCAGCTCATGCTTCATGGAGCAGAGATGAACCAGCTCTGCTAATCCCTGCCCAAATCACAGATTTGTGGGCAAAGTAATTAACTATTGTTATTTTAAGCTGCTACCTTTTGGAATGGTTTATTATGCAGTATTAGATAACCAGAATACCATTGTTTTCTGAGCTGATCTAATAAGCCAAATTATATGTGAAACCTTTTACACATGCTGTCTCCTTTAATCCTCATATTTCCCTCCAAGGTAAGAAAGACAATAGCTAACATTTACTGAGTGCATGCTATATGCCTACTGCAATTCAAAATCCTTTTGCAATTCACTTAATTTCATTGTTCTAATAACTCTTTTTCATAGGTATTCTTATCCTCCTTTTACAGATACAGGAACAGGAACAGAGAAATGGAAGAACTTGCCCCAAACCATGCAGGAGGTGGTAGAACCAAGGACTCAATAACCTGATTTGAAAGCCAGCAGCCACTCACTGTAATTATTTGCCTCTGACGGAAGGTTGATGAGAAGACCTCTCAGAGAGGCAGTGACTTCCCCAAAGTTGCACAGCTAATGGGAGATTTTGGACCACTTATTCTCTGGGCTCCTCCACTGAAGCTGCAATGGCCCTGAAGCACTGCCTGCCCTTTTGGGCTTATGTCTGTATGAGACTCGGCTGTCTCTCAATCTTCATTGGCATCCCTTAGCTTGATCTGTGTCCTTACTCTGCAGCTGTGGTCCCCAGTGACCTTTGGCTGTTCCCAAACATTCAATTCCATCCTCAAAGCACAGGATTTTTCCAATCAAGAAAATTCTTTAGAAGAATGCGCCTCAGGCTCAGAAGGACTTTCCAGTAGAACTTTCTAACATTCCAAAGATACTTGGTGCTTTGAGCACAGCCTGGCTCTAGACCTCTCGCCCTTCCTGCTGGTCACTGGCCTTTCCTGCACCTTCCTCCGTCTGCTTTGCCAATGAGGGATGGGGGTGAGCCGGGCAGAATGCCAGGGATAAGAGTAAGTGAGCAGGAGCTCTACTGTTACACAGGCATGTGCCCTAGGACAACTACTTAACCTCTCTGAACCCCTACTTACTTACCTGTAAAATGGGCTCTTGAATAGCCTTTTCCTCGTCAGGTTGTTGTGAGGATTAAATGAGGCAGTGTGTGTGTTCCTCAGGACTCCCTTCCCCTTCCGTGCAGGCCTTGCTGCCTGTTTGCCTGTTGCTCCACAACTGCCCGTAGCTCCCACACTTGTGAGGGAAAGTCTAGAGGCTGCTGCAGACCCCAGTGTGGCCATCACTGGAGCCCACATGTCTGTCCACTCATGCCTTCTGCTTCTCTTCCGCCTCCCAGTGCTGCTGTGAGTGCCTTTTGTTGGCACATCCAACCTACAAACCTACTGGCCAGGGAGTCCTGGGAATGTCCCTTCCATGCGTCTAGTCCCTGCGACGGGGGAGAGCGTGGAAGCGGGCGAGTGGTGCTGAGTTGCCAACAGGAAATCCAGCATATTTTCATTTCTAATGAACCAACAGGAAGGGCAGTGCTTAACCCAGATGGCAACCAACAGGCCTCATTGAATGAAGATACATGAGGCACGGTAGAGTAGAAGAGAGCGAAGGGGAGCGAAGGGAAGCCCTGCTTCCCTGCTATTCCTTGTGAATAGCCTAGGAAGCCAGAAAGACTGGTGTCTGGGTCTCAGGCACTTTGGAGCTGAGTTTGAACACCTGCACTGGCTCAGAAGTAAGATGTGTGCTATGCTTGGAGCCCAGAGATGAGGGAGGGGTGGAGAGCTTGCTGCGGGGCAGAGGCAGCGATGACTACAGTGCCGAGAAGCGGAGCTTTCCAAGACTGCAGTGTCTGTGAGACTTCCAAGTCTGCAAGTCCCGTAAGCAGTTTTGTCAGGGCAGGGGTGTGTAGGACTGGGAACCACGTGAAAGCGGTGTCCTCATTTGACTAGCTCTGTGGCACAATTTTTGGTTGCAGAGTTTCCAAGCCTTATTCTCTAGGCTTCCCCTTCCCAGTGACTTCCCTGAGTTAATCAATATCTTTTTAGTAAGTTCATTTTCTGCTTTAATTAGTCCAAGTTGGTTCTTGCGCTTGCCACCAAGTCCTGGACTCCAGGGAACTCAGGCCATTGTGAAGATTAAAGGCAAAGACTTAGCACACAGGTGGGGTATATCACAAGCACCCAGTATTACTTAGGTTCTGCTGTAGATAACTCAGACTAGGTTAAGCTGAAAGAGACTTAATACAGGGGATTAGGTGCTTGCAGGATTGGTGGTCGTGCTGGATGAACAAGTTCTAGGAAGAACTTTCAGGAATGTCTCCCAGAATATATCAGCAAGATTGGTGCACCAAGGGAGCTTCTAAATCTTCTAGGAGGAGGATGGATTTCAAGAAGTCCCTGTCCCCATTGCTGGCTGCATGACCATGTTGCCTCAGCTGAGAGGCACAGATCAGGAAATGGTGTTACTGCTGTTGTTTCCAGGGCCACACTGCCTTTGCCTTGGTTGATGACAAGAGAACGTATGTCCATGACCTTCCTCTCAGTAATACAGAATGAAACATCCACTGCTGGACTTCTGCTATCACCACTACAGGAAAAAACAAATGCTCACAGCATAAGCTTGCCAAAGCGGAGAATGGAAATACATTCTCTACTGCACTTCAGGCTTTCCAACTGTGCATCCATTTTTGGAAGATAGGTGTATCAAGCACCCAGTCTGTAGACTTGAATTTGCCATCTTTTTGGTGTGCAGTAAAGCATGTACCAGTGGAGATGAGTAAGCCAAACTGTGATGTCAGAAACACACCAAATATAGAAATCACTTTTCCTGCTTAGTTCCCATGCTTTGCACCTATTTACTGTCTTTTTGGTGCCCTGCTTTGCTGGTACCTTAAGCATATCTGCTCCCGCTAGAACCCAAAGAGGAGAAGATGAGCAGCCGTGGCTTGGGTCTTCCAAGGCAGAGACACAGAAAGTGGGCAGGATGTCCATTCCTTCTGTGCTTGGATGAACTAGTTTGACAGAACAAAGAGCCTTGCCCTGTCACTCGTCTCTGCAAGCCTTGAGGCCTAGATTCAAAATTCCTTCCCCCAAGGAGGTGCTTCGAGATGCCCCTGCCTCTGGGACATGTGTGGGCCAAAGAGGCAAAGCCTGAGGCAGAAGGAGGAAGACTTTCTCCCACCCACCTGAGCTATCTTGGTGGGACACCAATTAAGAAGGCAGAGCAGCAGACATGCCAGTTCCTGGCAGCCGCTTCTCCTGAGGCTAATCTGGGTCATGTCTGACAAGGGAGTGTGCTGACTGAGGCATCTGGCATCCGCGCTCTGAAATAAGTGCGGAATCAGCCCTTGGCAGCGTGGGGCAAGGTAGAGCTTAGGAGCAGTGGCCCTGGAGTCAGACAGACTTATGTGCTCAGGGAGGGGACAAAGTGACTTAAGCTCTCTGAGCCTTTGTTTCTTCTTCTGTATAAAGTGCTTAATACTGTATCGTGGGCGTGGGTAACCAAGTAAGTCCTCCATATGGTAAAAGTCATGTCTGACTCTTTGTGACCCCATGGACTGTAGCCCGGGGCTCTCCTGTCCATGGAATTCTCCAGGCAAGAATACTGGAGTGGATTGCCACTCCCTTCTTCAGGGGATGTTCCCCACCCAGGGGAACATTGCAGGCAGATTCTTTACCATCTGAGCAATCAGATATGGTGAAACAATTATTCAATGAAAAAGGAAAGGAGTGGACGCATACTGAAGGCCTCCTCTGTGTCAGCATTTGTTTGCTCTACACCATCTCCTTTAATCTTCACAGCAACTCAGGGCCCCCAAGTCACCAGCAGTGACCCCTGGAGTTTGCAGTTCAGCAGCACAAGGGCACCTCTGTGAGGTAGAAGTTCTCCTTTCCTTTTGTAGAGAGGGAAACATTGGTGTAGTGGACGCTTCCAGAGCCTCACCGGTGTCCTTTTGCTCTCACTACCTCACTGACTTCTGGTGGCTGGCACCTGCATTTCTTCGCCCAAGGATTTCCTGTTGCTGTCAGGCTGATTGTCTGGGAGGATGGGGACATTAACAACCCCCTTCCCAGCAGCTTTCAACCACTGAATGATGGGAATTTGTGCAGAAAGACCCTGAGGCATGAGGGCTGCTCTGTCTCCCAAAAATTCCCAATAGGATTAAGCTTTTCATCTAATCAGATATAGTTATCCATGTTACAAGCGAAGAAGTTTGCACCTTCTCCCCAAGGTGAGGAGAAGCACCAACCTTGTGGTCATGGTATCCATTGTTAGTTTGGTTTTTAAAATTTTTATATCGGAGTATAGTTGATTAACAGTGTTGTGTTAGTTTCAGGTGTTCAGCAAGACAATTCAGTTATACATATAAATGTATCAATTCTTTTCCCATTTTCATTATTACAGAATATTGAGCAGAGTTCCATGTCCATTGCTAGTTATATTAATTGTTCTTCACAATCCCACTGAAAAGTCTGTTACCTAAAGACCAAATGTAAAATTAAAGTTAAAATTTTGTACATAGGAATAAAAATAAGAAGAAAGTAGCACATAAAAATAAGCACAGGCATGTAATAAGCAAAGAGAATATATGCAGTTACATATATTACAATCTTTCACTCTGTATTTGGTTGGGAGCTCACGGTTGATGTCCTCTCAGACAGAGCCTGAGCTAATTAAAGCTCTTTTATTTAATGGAGTGACCCAAACCATCCCTCTCAAAGGGTCTGAGCCCCCAATTATACTACTTTTTGTTTGTTCATTTGCTATAGTTTTTTCTTAACATCAACTATTGGGCATGGACACACTAAGTGATGATCTAGAAAATCCACTGCATTGCAGACATAGTTCTTCTTGTCCCCATTTTTTAGCTGCAGTCTACTTTCTTCTTGGTAATCAAGATCAATCATGCCATCCTGTAAATAACCTCGTTTCTGTTGATTGCTTCAGTGCCATAAAGAGCTCAAAACTGCCCGGTTGACAGTCTCATCTTCCAGTTCAGTGGAGCTGTTCTTGTGTCCTCTGGTTGAAGTATTCCCACCTGGAGACTAAGACCTCCAACCCAGCAGAGTTCGTGTTTCCTCAGGTGGGAAGTGGGTTATTGGGTATAACAGTGAGAGGAGACACTTCTATATCTATCCCTTTATTATTATTATTATTTCTTTCTATCCCTTTATTATCATGGTTCTTCATAACCAGGATCAGTGGTCTCTGATTCAAAGCACATACAGTATCCTGTAAGACAGAACCCAGTCCTTTCAGGATGTTGACTCACAATTGGTGCGGTAACTGAGCCCTCAGCAAGTTATTCCACCTTCTGATTAGTCCAGCCATTTGCAGGTGATAGGATGTGTGGCAAGAACAATTAAGTCCATGGGTATGATTCCATTTCTGCACTTTCTTTGCTTTGAAACAAGTTCCTTGATCAGAATTAATATTACAGGGAATGCCAAAATGGTAGCTAAAGCCCTCAGTGAGTCCACAGATGATGGTTCTAGCAGATGCAGTATGGCTAGAGAAGGCACACGTGTATTTAAAAAATGTGCCTTTTCCAAGGAGGATGGATCTCTGCTCCCTCCGCGATCAAAGAGACTCAATGTAGTCAACCGGCTACCAGCTATTTGGCTGGTTTCCCCAGGAATGATGCTCTTGGGAACTCATTGTTGAACTCTTCTCTTGATAGATCAGGCACTCAGCAGTATCTTTAGCCAAGTTGACCTTATGGGGAAATTCAGGTTGTTGATCCCATGTATAGCCTCTATTTCTGTTGCCATGGCAATTTTGTTAATGGACTCGTTAAGCATGCACAGGATGCTTTGGGAAAGGGGATGAGTAACACTCACTGAATGCATTGTCTACCTGATTATTTAGAACCTCCTCTGCAGTGGATACTCTTTGTGGAGGGATTCCTATGGGCACGAATATCCTTATAGTGTGTGCGAATTCTGAGGAGGTCCATTCATATGTTCCTTCCTCAGATTTCTTTTTTACCAATCTTCCAATTATGTTCCTTCCAAGTTCATGACCATATGGCCAAACCATATGGTCTACCTTCTCTCACTGTAGACGTAGTAGACAACCAGATGTACTACTTGAAATTTTGCCCATTAGGAAGATTTTCCTTTATTATTGCAGTTCAGGATCACTCATGAGTAGGGCTGTAGTGCTGTGATTGTCTACATTCAGATAGTACCAGAATTCTGTTCATACTCATCTGTAAAACAGATTTGGGTTTTTCTTCCTTAGTTAATTGATTATTAAAAAACACCCCAAGAAGCCAAAGGCATTGATTAGGAGAGGGGAGGTGATGCAATAAAAGTTTATGTCAAAGGAGTCTGAGCCATCTGCTTATGCACCTTACTTGTACCTTCTGGACATGTGTGAGTTTGGCCTCATATATGCCATTTCCATTTTATGTTAGATTTATATTGCATATGCACAATTTTATGTTTAGATGGGTCAGGCAACACCCAGTTCATGATGAGAAGCTCAGCTTCTCATGTCCTGCAATTAAATGTTCAGTCTCTACTTAGGCTCAGTGGCAAGTCAGAAGCTATTTCTAAAAGGAGAATAGTTATCTGTGGAAAAGGTCATAGATTTTCTCCATAATCCTAGGGGTCTGGGCTATGATTCTCCTGTTGGTACTTTCCAGAGGCTCCACAGAGCATCCCTATTTACACTTCAGATATTATTGGATATGCTAGATCACAAGGCCAAGGTGGTTGAGTGGCTTGTATTGCACCCCAGACTTGCTGTAGAGCCTTCTCATGCTCTGGCTTTCACTTGAAGCTGATTTACAGACACCTCTTAGAGGGTCTAATCTCATACTTAAATGTGATATATGATGTGCTGTGTGTGCTTAGTCGCTCAGTCATATCTGACTCTGAAATATGATATATATCACCTCCAAAATCCAAAAAAGGCCTACTAAGTATTGTATCTATTTTCATTGTGAGTGGTAAGGTAGAGTAACCTGTTTTTCACTTTAGAGGAGATAATCTTCTTCACTCCTTGATAATCTATTGACTCTTCAACACTTTATCTCCCACTCTTTATTCATATATGTCTTTCTAAGACATCTAAAGTACCTGCTACTTTCTGCTCAGCAGATCCAGTGAGCAAAATGGAGTAGCCCAGTGTAATGTTTCATGCAATGTCAAGACAAATAAAGATCTCTATGGTTGGTTATGTGATCGTGGCAGAGAACAGGAGAATTGATGTATTTTTGAAGCATGGCTGAGAAGGTAAACTGTTGGCCCTACTAGGTAAAAGCAAGCTGCTTCTGATTGTCCTTGTACTTTGGTGTGAGGGGTAGGGAGGCATTAGGCAATTCAGTAGCTGCTTATTGAGTGCCAGGGCCATGTTGGTTTGTTCCAGTAAAGATACTATATCTGAAACAGCAATTCAATGGGAATCACCACCTGATTAGGTTTATAATAGTTCACACTCATTTTTTTCCAGATCCATATGACTTCTGCATAGGAGGAACTGGAGAGCTGAATGGGAGATAAAATAAGTAACAGTATTCCTACTTTGTCAGAGGCATTCATCTTTGCAGTTTCCTCAGTGATGTGATACTGCTTCAGGCTTACCACAGCAATAAAGCCGAAAGTTGCAAGGACTTCTTTGTAGTCTTCCCTTTCATAATGATCCTCATCGCATTACTCAGAGAGCCAATATGCGGGTTCTGTGAGTTTTCAAGTGTGTTAACTTAAACAATAAATTTAGAAACCGAGAACATAACTCACAGGGTGGAGATGTGGACAAGCTGGGTCTGCCACGAGTCTGACTTGAGCTGAATAGCTATCACTTGACACTACAACCCCCATTTGAGGCCACAGGAACATTTTGGAACCCCAGGAATTAGCATCAGTTCAGAGCTCATGTAATCTCTGAAAATTTCTTTTTCCTCCCAACATAGTCACTCTAGCAGATGGCTGCAGGTCCTTTTGGGGAATGCTTAGAGGAAGATTTACTGTGTGCACTTGAGACGATGGCACAGAACAATTCTTCAGTAATACCACGCCTCCCTTACAATTGAAGCACTGTTGGTGTGTAAATTGATATAGGTTTCAAAACTGACTGAAAGCCATGATTCTTTGTGGTGGAGACTCTCAGATTTTTGGCTACTGGATCTAGAATTTTTCCAGTTACAGAAATCAAATAGTTTTCTAGTAGGGTACCCATCTATTTCATTCCTAGGACTCTATGATAAATTAAACATTATCAAAGCCCTTTGTGGACCAAGACATTCTAAAAACTGGGACATTCCCTACTTCCCTTTAAGATAGATGTGTCCACCTGGTCCTCATTAAGTCCTGCCATTTGTCTTCTGCTACTTTAGGATTCCATCATTTTGACTGCAAACAAGGAGGCTGTATCAATAGTGACGTTCTCGATGATTCAGCCTATCATTCAAAGAAATCAACTACAGAGCTTTCAGGGACACAGGTACTCCCATCTCAAGGCCTTAGTCAAGGCAGTGTCTCCTAGGCCTTCTCGTGGATCACAGTTGGTGGGTGGGTGTGACAGCTGCACATGGTAAATCCAGCCAAAACTTCTCACGTCCCTATGCCTTTGAATTTCCTCCTCCATATAATTCAGGCATATAAACCCAGGCTCTGGCATCCCAGTCTCATTCAATGACACTCACTGTTGGTTCAAGTTTTAGTCAGTCACAAAGTAAGCAGAGACATCTCCAGGGGCATGAGATGACACATTATGTCTGGAGTCTCTATCATGATCAACTATATCAATGAATTTGCTCACTATGGCATTATATTTCACCATTCTTGGGGTCCTTACTCATGGACAGGGGCTAGTTGTCCCTCTCTAGCCATTACTCAGGACCCTGTTCATACCCTAGGTGTGTCTTCTAAAAAATAATTATTTTATTGAGGTATAATTGACATACAACATATATTGTGTATAACTGACATACAACATATAATTGACATACAACATATATTGTGTACAATATAGCTATTCGCTATTTGTATGTATTGTGAAATGATTACCATTTCAATTCCACATACAAGTGAGATCATATGTGAATTTCTGTTCCACTGGGTTCCCAACGATGCCTCTGTCCACTCTCCTGACTGGCCCTGCCTCCTTCCCCTTGTGAACCTGTGAGGCCTTAGCATGCGCTAAATTGCAGGAATTGTAAGTATACATTTGGAAGTTGCCTATGTTTACTTATGGGCTTCCCTGGTGGCTCAGTGGTAATGAATTCACCTGCCAAGTAGAAGATGTGGGTTTGATCCCTGGGTCAGAAAGATCTCGAGAAGGGAAAGGCAATCCGCTCCAGTATTCTTGCCTGGGAAATCCCATGGACAGAGGAGACTGGCAGGGCTAGAGTCTATGGGGTTACAAAGAGTCAGACATGACTTAGCAACTAAACAACAACTCTGTATGCTTATGGCTCATATAAATGATACAAAGAGAGCAACGAAAATGTGCCTGCAAGATGCCAGCCTTCAGCTGCCTCCCCTTCTAACTGACTCTTTTTTTTTTTTAACATTAGTATGGTACATCTATTATAGTCAATGAACCAATATTGATACATTATTATCATCAGGTCAGTTTATTTCTCTCCCTCCGTTCTTGCCTCATTGTAACTAAGATTTGGAATGATGGACTAATTACAGCTTAGGCAGGATTCCTAGGCTCTTGTGTTATCATAGCAAGGATTCGAAACAACAGACTAGTTACAGCTCAGTTACAGCTCAAGCAGATAGATCTTTTATTAAAAAGAGCATAGTACACTCCTGTGACATGGGAGTGGGCTGACCTGGAAGGAGTGGCCCAAACTGGCTCTTAAATTTGCCTACTTCTCTATCCTCACCACCACATGCCAAAATAGGCACCATCATCTCTTATCTTTTACCTGTAAAGGCCTTCTAATTGTCCTCCAACCCAAACTATTCCTTCTTGGTATCAAATGTGTTATTTTTAAAAGGTATTATTCATTAAAAAAAAAATAGGGTTTCCCTTGTGACTCAGTGGTAAAGAATCTGCCTTCCAATGCAGGAGACACAGGTTTGATCCCTGGCTTGGGAAGATCCCCTGGAGAAGGAAATGGCAGAATACTCCAGTATTCTTGCCTGGAGAATTCCATGAACAGAGGAGCCTGGTGGGCTACAGTCCATGGGGTTGCAGGGTCAGACACAACTGAGTGACTGAGCACACACCCATTTATAGAAAATAGAATTCACTGAACACTAAATAGTGCACAGTTCTGTGAATTTTGACACACACAGTCAGGTAACTGCCACTATAGTCAAGATATAAAACAGTTCTGTCAAGCCAATATGTTCTCCCATGATCCTTTTCAGTAAACCCCACCCTCTTTCCTTACTCCCTGGCAGCCACTGATCCTTTTTCTATCCATGTAGTTGTAGCTTTTCTGAAGCATCCTGTAAATAGATAATGTGGTAGGTACTCTTCTGAGTCTGTTTCACTCAGTATAATTCTTATGAGATTCATCCATGTTGTCGTGTATATCAGTAATGTGTTTCTTTTTGCTGCTGAGGGGCATGCCATTGAAAGGCTGTCTGTGGTTAGTTAATCCCTTGATCAGTAAATGGGCATCTGGATTGTATCCAGTGTTTGGTGATTATATATATATAAAACCATTGCAAACATTCATCTCTATTATTTTTTTTGGTGTGTGTAAACATATGTTTAAGTTCACCTGGTAAATCCCTAGAGGGATTTCTGGGCTACATAGTAAGAGTATTTTTATCTTCATATAAAACTGTCAAACTGCTTTTCTTATTTTTTGTTTATTTATTTACATTAAAGTATAATTGACATACACCATTATATTAATTGCAAGAGTACAATGTAATGATTTTCAAAGTTTTAATAGTTGTGATCATGATCATTTGCACAGAGTTGTATGAGAGTTCAGTTGCTCCACATCCTTATCAGCTCTTAGAATGGTCTATTGTTTTTTATTAAGAGGATTCTTTAAAAAACTCTGATTTGATCACTTCACACTCCTGCTGAAATCTTTAATTGCTTATTATTGCTCAAAATTCTCAAAGAGGCCTTAAATATTCTATACTTTTGCTGTAGAATATTTTTGCTAACTAAGTTCAGGTTTATTCTCAGACCAAACATTACTTCCTCACCTGCGCTTAACCCCATATATCAGACTAGGTCCCTTTATGTCATCATGTATGCATCACAATTATCATAAGATAATTAACTTTGTAACTAGACATGGAATATTCATCTCCCTCTTTAAAGCATTAGCTCTATGAGGGCAGGTCATGATCACCATCATCACTGTATCTGAAGGGCTAGAACAGAGCCTACACATAGTAGGTTATTAATAAGAGTCTCTTGGGCAAGAGATCTCAGTTAGTTGTCTCCACAGCCTTGAATGGGGAAGATGGTGATACTCACTTTACAGAAAAGCTCAAAGAGGTATGGTAAATTGCCCATGTCACTCAACTGGAGCCAAGATTTGGGTTCTGGTCATGTGGAAGCCATTCCTCTCCTCTCAGCCGTCTGGTTTGGAGGTCTTCTGCTCCCAGGTTGACAAATTGCTGGGAGGAACTGGAGCTGAGAGGAGGAAGCCACCTGCAGAAGTCACCCAGAGCCTTTCCTCTCTGTTGGAGTTCCCTTTAGTATAAAGATATGCATGTTTCCAAAGCCAGTGAACTAAACTGTTAAACTAGCAGGGGACTGCCTTACAGCCCAGGGACATTTTCCTAAGGACTTCCAGGAAGACAGAGCAGGTAGAATGGGCCAACAGGCTTGTCATTTCCCTAACTTCATTGGCTCTGCACAACAACCCTGTATTTTCACCCATTTCATCTATTTTACATTTTACAATGGCTCAGGTGAAGAGAAAGGCCCACCTGAGCCATCGCCACTGCTACTATGTTTATCTGTCTTAGAGGGGTCACCATCAGGGGTGTTTTGGGGGCATGCTTACAGCTCTCAGATTTTACCGTGTATCAGTGTCACCCAGAGGGTCTGTTAAAGCCCAAATCTGTGGCCCTCACCCCAGAGCATCTAATTAGTGGGTCTGGGTAGAGCCTGAGAATTTGCGTTTCTAACAAGTTGCCTGGTAAAGCTGGGATGGGAGCACACCTTGAGGATCACAGTCTTTTGGTATACTTATTTCTTTAGGCTAGTGGGGACTCTCATGGCCCCTGGAACCCCAATAATAATAACAATCCAACATTTTATTTAGCAATTACTATGTTATTGTTCAGTTGCTCAGTTGTGTTTGACTCTTTGCAACCGCATGGACTGCAGCACACCAGGCTTCCCTGTCTTTCATCATCTCCCAGAGCTTGCTCAAACTCATGTCCACTGAGTTGGTGATGACACCCAACCATCTCGTCCTCCTCTTGCCTTCAATCTTTCCCAGGATCAGGGTCTTTTCCAATGAGTCAGCTCTTCGAATCAGGTGGGCAAAGTATTGGAGCTTCAGCTTCAGCATCAGTCCTTCCAATGAATATTCAGGGTTGATTTCCTTTTGGATTGACTGGTTTGATCTCCTTGCAGTCCAAGGGATTCTCAAGGGTTTTCTGAAACACCACAGTTCAAAAGCATCAATTCTTCAGTGTTTTCTTTATGGTCCAGCTCTCACATCCATATACAACTGGAAAAACCATAGCTTTGACTATAGACATTTGTTGGCAAAGTAATGTCTCTGCTTTTTAATATGCTGTCTAGGTTTGTCATAGCTTTTCTTCCAAGGAGCAAGCATCTTTTAATTTCATGGCTGCAATCACCATCTGCAGTGATTTTGGAGCCCAAGAGAATAAAATCTGTCACTGCTTCCATAGTTTTCTCATGTATTTGCCATGAAGTGATGGGACCAGATGCCATGATCTTAGGTTTTTGAATGTTGAATTTTAATTACTATGTACCTGATACTGTTCTTATGACCTCACACACAATGACTCACTCAAACACACCACATCCACATATTCCACATGGGGAAACCGAGGCACAGCTGTATTAGGTAACTTGCTCAAGGTTGTATCACCTGTAGGAACTGGAAGGGAGCTTGGGATACAGGCATTCTGACTCCAAAGTCCACATCCATGAGGCCCACACTCTAGTCCCACGCTCATTAGTACCTGTCTTTCCACTAAGACAGGTGTTAGTCCTACTCAAGTACTCTTCAGGGCACAAGCCAGAGGCCATGTTCACTATTTGGTTTACAACTATCCTCCCACCCTGCTTAGTTCTTAGACTGCATTTAAATGGAATGTGAACTTTCCTCAATTCTCAAGGAAGTGACTACTGACACCTCTGTGGGCATTTGGGGAGCCGATCTCCAGTCTAATGCTACTTGTTGACAACTCCTCAGCTAGATGCAGTTAGCAATTATACCCTGTCAGAAGTTTATAAATAGCTTCTTCCTTGGAGTTAGTGGGTCTGGAAGGCCAGGGTGTCTTGAAGAGGATTGTGTAGAGACAAGCTGGCAATGACACCAGAGGGCTGGAGAACAAAGCTTTATATTGAACAGTGACCAAAAATAACTCTTCTATGCTTTGGAACTTCAAGATAGTGCAGAAAATGTGGCACATTTAGTCACGTAATCCCAGAGAACAGAGGGAAGTGCAATGTCAGAGCTGGAGAGAGCCCTAAGAATCCATGAGCCAGCCCCTTCCTATCCTGTGAGAAATCTGAGGCCCAGTGAGGTCAGGTGCTATCTAAGGTCAAACAGCAAGTTAGTTGTCTTGGCTTTCCATCCAGGCAGTAAACAGACAGACTCAGGGACCTAGGAGGTAAAATGCAGGTCTAGGCAAATGCAGGCATGCAGAAAAGGTGGACTTACAGAAGAGATCAGTTTTGTCTTACTCTGTCCAACCTGCATATTCATCAGAGGGGATATTTCTAATGCATACGTTATTCAGGTTGTTTCCTATTTAAAAGC